GCAACACTCTGGGGTGCATCCCATCAGGGCCCATGGATTTGTGGGTGTCGAGGCTCCCTAGATGCTCTCTGACCCACTCTTCCTCTACCCAGGGCAAGCCTTCCTCTCTCTGGCTCTCTTCGTGTGTCCCTAGGGCCTGGGATTCTAGAGGGCTGCCCCTGACAAACACCGAAGCAAAGGCAGCATTCAGCAGCTCTGCTTTGTCCGTGGTTTTCGTAACCAGGGTACCCACCCCATTCACTAGTGGACCCACGTTGAAGGCTAAATGGGCCTTTCCTGGGAGAATCAGAAAAGGAACAGTGGTTGGAGGCTTTTAGGTGGCAGCTCTGCTCAGAGCATATGGATAGCGTGTCCAGAGCTGCAACCTGGCTGCCCTTTGGGACACCCGGTGTGGGAAGGTCTCCAGAGTGGTGCTCCTCTATGTGAAAACAGGCAGAGCGCTGGGTCCACCACTGAGCTGGGGAAAAACCAAAGGCTGGGCTGCAACTGTGGTGGGACACATGACTGCCATCCGGGACAAGGCACGCGGATGTGACAGGGCCAAAAGAGGTAGTAGAATGAGCTGGGATTTTGCCAAATCGTGCAACTTCTGTCCAGTTCTTGAAATCAGATGGGGAATTTTGGTGGCCTGGAGATGCTGCTATGTGCACACTTCTTCCTCAACAGAGATGGTCAGATGGTTCAAAATACAAGCTGGGGCTGGTAATGCTTTGACTCGTGGCAGGACCATCTGTAYCTCCAGCAGCTCTTTCAGTGCATGTCTAGGCTGGTAAGAGAAAGCCCAAGGTCTTCTCGGCAAATGAACCCAAGACTTCACAAACCAGAACGAGGTTAGGAGTTCAGAAGGCCTCAGGTGACATGGGAGAGACAGGGAGGCTGGTGGCTGCTCTGTGAAGCCTACAGCAAAACTGGCTTGTGGTTAAAGCAGAACCCCAGGAATCCTGCACTTGCCTCTTTCCAGAAGTGTTTCTTGCATCGCCTTGAAGAGCCACTTCACCTGAAGCCAAATACACAAGCGCCTCACTACCGGAGCAGGGTTGACTCTTCAGGGAAGCCTCCACAGCAAAGGAAGAGTCAACCCAAGTGGTGCTTCTCACCCATCTAGAAACAAGGCTGCTCTTGTTCGGTCTTACATGGGCTCTGCCCAAGACCTGCAAAGATATCAAACCTGCTCTGGCAGTGCCACCACTGGATTCTCTTTGGGACTGGTCTAACGAGGTCTCCAAATGACCTGAAGCAGATGTTTAAGGGAAGGTTAAGAACATGCACATAGCATTTACTTTTAATCTGTGACTAAATCCTGTTTCGGACCATTTTATGGTGTGGCCAAAGGTGAAAAGAGATTCAYCATGCTGAAATAGGAGGGGGAATTATTAGCCCAGGGCTCTTCTCTAGCCAAGCCACCTACAGAGCTGAGGTCACAACTGCCCGTTCTTGTTTTCTCTGCCCCAGAAACGTGTTCTGTGCTTTTTAGCCTGCCTTGGGCCAACCTCTCCACATAGAGACCCAAGTGAGGGCTCTGCCCGGGTCTGTAATTATTGCTGGCTAAAAAACAGAGATGGCAGCAGAGGGTCTCTAATCCAGATCTAGTCTAAGTTAGTCCAGACCTAGTCTAAGTTAGTGGTGCAGGCTCGACCTCTGCTTTGCAACTGAGACCAGGCTCGTCCTGCACTGGCTGCAGTCACTGGCAAGGGCAGAGGAGCCAGACACGCATGGGAGACTGGGACCTGCCCCCACCAGAAATACCATCCAATAATCCATGGTACTCATGCTGCAAGTGGGCTCTAATTACACACTTTGGCCATTAGCATGTGCARTTAGCTCACACATTTAGGCTTCCTTTGGCAATAGATTTATAGTAAACAACCGTTAATTCTCCCTCTCCTTCACACGCTTCAGCGCCTGGTCACTGGGGGGGCACTGCTTTTTTGGGGAAGGGGGCGCAGAGAAGCGATTTGCTGCAGATCTTGCTGCAGCCTGGAGCCCGTTCCTGGAGCCGCAGGGCAGGACCACGCAGTCCGTGCCCGGGCCGCGGGGTGCAGCAGGCGTGCGAGGCCCAAACCCACGCACGCTCCTGGGGCCGGTGCGGCTCGCTCCTCTCTGCCACGGCGCAGGGAGCCGGGCTTCTCTTGCACGGGCTGCAGCTGCTCGGAGGGGCAGGACGCGGATTGGGGCAGGCCGCTGCTCGGGCGGCCTCTCCTTGGCACCTTGCCCGAATTGAGGCATGTCCACCCAGCCGCCGGGAAGCGGCCCACATGGTGCCTGCCCTGCGCACAGCAGAGCCACRGGGAATGGGGTCTTCCCGGCACGACATGGTGCTACCGAGCCCAGGGTGCTTCGTGAGCAGCTCCTGGGCACCTGGGCAGGCACATCCCGCGGAGAGGCCGGGTGGATGCCCTGGGGCCTCTGCACCCTGCACCTTGGCATCAGTCTGATTTATGCAAAAAACATGTCAGACACTTTAAAAAAAAAAAAAAAAGAAAGAAAGAAAGAAAGAAAAAGAAAAAAAGCATATTAGCCTGACCTCGTTCTGGGCAAAGGCTCCGGCCAGGGAAAGCATCACCTCATGCCCGGTGGTGCTGGGACAGGGCACACAGGCAGCGCGGCCGTCACGGAGCGGGACCGGAGCGGCAGCGCGGTCGTGTCGCGGAGCACCCTCGGCCTGCAGGGCTCGGGGAACCGGGGGGCCCCTGCCGCCGCCGGCCCCGCAATGCCGCTCGGAGCAGCGCGGTTGACGGGAACGGGGCGGATGTGCGGGCTGGCCGCGAGCTCCCTCCCCGAGCTCCCGCAGCGCCGGAGCGGGAGCGTGCGAAGAAATTCCCTCTGGTTCTGGGAACGGCACCAGAACCGTCCCCGCGCGCGTGCCCGGCCCCGCTGCAGAGCAGCGCGGCGGCAGGGGGACGGGGGGCACCGGGAGGGCCCGGCCCCCCGCGCCACGGGGCCCGGCCGCCCCAGCTCGGGCTGCCCGAGGATCCCCGAGGGGCGAGGGGGACGCGGGCGCTGCAGGAGAGCTGGGCGCCGCGGCCTCACCTGCATCG